GAAGAAGAAGAAGAAGAAGAAGAAGAAGAAGAGAGAGAGAGAAGAAGAAGAAGAAGAAGAAGAAGAAGAAGAAACAACAACAAAAACAACAACAACAACATTGGAAAACAGTGGAAAAACAGTGGCCAAGGACCAGAGGGGGGCTGGATTCTCCCATCAATACCTAGTCACCAAAACAACCAGTACTGTCTCTATCCCATGCCTTGCCCTGAATTCTGACTGAAAGTAGTCCAGGTAATCCACTTCCAGGATTATCCAAAATACTGTCACTGAAGCCCCATCATCTTCTCAACAACCTTCATCAAAAGAAGATATTATCTGTCAGCTTCCCTTTCTATAATTTGTGTTTACATATGCCACTTGGATACCTTCTAGAAGTGTGGCACTACAACTCCCAGAATTCCCAACAAGTAATTAAGTAGCAGTCAGGGCCCTTGCCCTCCTCTTATGCTTCTAGATTTTTTTCAGAATGTTCTACTTGGACATGGTGGGGAAAAACGGTTCCAGGAAGGATAGAACTATCATCTTACGCAGCAGAAATCTTCTGTTCTTGTGCAAGCTGGAATTAGAACTTTGAGAAAAAAAGGAGAACCACTGGAAGCTGAAGGGTTGACTCCCAATGGCAGGGAAACCCTTTTTGTGCTCTTATGGGTAGTATTCAGAGGAGCGACCAACTCAGGGTTGACACCATTTTTCTTGATTTAATATAAGTGGATAGCTCTTCTGATGTATTCATCTGAAACACATTGCTATATAAAATATAATAATAAAATTACAATACATTAAAATATAAAAATGGATGCATTAAAAGAAAGATAGAAAGGAAGGACAAGGGGAAGAAGGTCATCTATAACATTCATGCAGGCATGCCTGGATGAAGACATAAGGCTTGGATAGGTATCTCACAGTTTTCAAGGGGGAGAACTTTCCAGATGGTTCACAAAAGGCTTGCCTATGACTGATCTCAAGATGTCACTCTATAAGTCACAACATAATTGTTTTCCAAGAACATCCAGAACTTCACTGACACCATCTTCTTGAGCACCTTGCCCTGAAAGGATGTATTTTTGACAGGGCGAAGTTAGGTCCAAGAAGAGCTTTAAAGGACTGGGCCTCCTTTAGAGCTTGGTTCACTTAATCAACCTTCCTTAGCTAGCTTGGATAAATCAGTATGGACAGAAGGTAGAGATCCTATGGTAGCAGACTGCAACAAATTCCTTGCTATGTCATATCAAAAACAGAAAGCAATTACACACAACAGGACCAAACTACATTCATCTCAACATGAAGATGGGTAATTTTTTTCTCAAACTGCTGTGAAAGTCTATCATGACAGCCAACACAGAGATCTCCAGGAAAAGTAATGGTAAATCCTAGCTATTTTAAAAGGACAACAGAGGATAGTTACGGCTCTTTCAATTCTTATTGTGAGGATGGATCAAAATTTTTAATTTCATCATCCTAGCCAGTGACAAAATAAGAACCAATCAATAAAGCCATATTGACAACTACAGGGCAGTTCAAGTTAGCTGGGTGAGAAGAAAAATACATTTCTTCAATAACACCGTTCTGTGTGTAATATATTCACAGTCTGGAAAAAAACGACTTTGCTAATCAATCTTGCAACAGAGGATTTTCTACTGCTTCCCCCATATTTCAAGAAAGAATGTCTGTGTAGGATTATGTTAGTTTGATCTGTGTTGGTAAACATTTTAAATTTAAAACTCAGCTCTTGTTCTTTTTTTGTCCACCCCAGTGTTAAAATCTCACGTTCAAAAGTTTTAGCCCACCATGGATGTTATCAATTGGTATGGTATGATATCCTTGTGATTATGGCATAGGTACATAAATTTTCAGAGGTAAAATTCAACCATTTATTGATAACCCTAATCCTAACCCATTTGATGGGGAAAAGAACACAAGCCGACTGAAATAAGAGGATGTAACTGATTGATACATGAAACTCACTGGCAGGCGAAAATGTTGTGGAGGACAAAAACAGAACAAGAGCCTAAAACTGTTTTCATAACAACCTATGCATTTTTGTTCTGCCCTTGAATTCTTAATAATGCCTATTTAATGACTTTTAAAAATAGTAATCCTCTCCACAAAAGTGAAGGTTCAGCCAGATCTTTATTTTGCACAATGAATCCAGAAGGAATTCCATAGAAAGCATGCTCTTCAATGGCAATCCTAGCCATATCTTTTTGGAAATGTAGTTCTCAGTTCATCTTCCCCAAACCTGTGCCCTCAAAACATAAAAGGCATCACCTCTCATAATTCCCAGCCAGTGGAGGGAGCGGGGAGGGTGTATTTAGATAATAGCGCCACCATGAATGGTTCCTTTGCTGTCAGATCTTTAAGTGCAGAAAATTAACTTTTTTTTTTTTTTTAAATAACATGGGATACCCTTGGAAACAACCATAATGAAATCAGAGTTGTTAATCATCAGTTACATTGGCATGAGGCCATTATGTGATGGCTAACCAGGAGGCCTCTTTTTATTGTTCTTTTTAATGTATAGATCTTTTGAGAAAGATTCAGGTTTAGCGTAGAGTAGTAAAGAGCTTCAGTCTCCTAAGAACTGGAAAGGAATCAGGCTTAGCTAAATGTGAAAAAATTTACTAGTGCCTGGTTAAAAGCTTTACAGCTGAATTAATGAGTAACCCGCACTTTAATTAACGAGTTGGTGCTCTCCTACTGTGCTACAGTTTTCCTTTGGCTACTATAAAGGTCTCCACGCTGTTTTAACATAGTTACAGCTCGAACATGCCAGTGGTTTTAGGGCATCTCCTTTTACTTATACTTGGAACAATTTACCTTCAAAAAGCAAGCTGTCCAACAATGGCTCTCCAACAAGGTATGCTTCCAATTTCATATTTATTGCTAATCATTTTCAGAAGGTAAAAATAATGATATTTATATTGGGCCAAGGAAACACCGTGTTCATTTACTTCAGTGACTTCATTTATCAGCTCCTCTCTCTTATTTCAGTTGTAGCCAAGAGTAAGAAAAAGGTAGACTCATACAACCGCTGTGCACAAAGTCAGGGCTTTCCTTCACTAGCCTTGTTAGCCCTGCATACAGAACAAGCTGGCCAACTGAGTGCCAGAACTGAGACTGGACTGAGATGCTGTCATTCAGCCCCTATGGAAAGTTCTTGGGGCAGCTAATTCAGATGACTTTGTGCAAAATGCAGCCACCCCTATTATTTTCAGAGTAGCTCCATCCCTTATTATATGATTATTTTTTACCCAAATACACCAATGTGGTATAGTGGTTAAGGTGCTGGACTAGGACTGGGAAAGGAGATCTTATAGTCCCCCCACCCCAACTGGAAGCTCACTGGATGATTCGGGGCCACTTGCTCTTCTCAGCTTATCCTATGCCAAAGGGTGGTGGTTGTTGTGAGGGAAAAAAGCAGAAAGAAGTGCAATGTATGCCGCCTTTTGCCTCTGGAGGAAAGGCAGGACATATACCTAACAAATGAAAGAATAAGCTGTGGTAAGCCAGTGACACATCATCTTAAAAAATAACTTTGTGGTATGAGTTTTTGTAGATTAGATCATATTTCATTATGATTCTGGGAGTAGATCATTGAGGGAACTTTTATATGAAAGCATTCACTTTTGTATGAGAAGATGCAGAGGGTTACCTCCAGTTGTGTCCTTCTGTCCTTGGAAAACTTGTTGGTTCTACCAGAGAATTTTGTACCTGGAATATAGAGGAAGGCAATTTGGGTTGATTTCTTCTCCTTCAAAATCTGGTTCAGGGTGTTGGAAGACTTGGGATAGTGTAGAATCATTTCCCTCCCCTCTTAATTTATAAATTCCTCTTCTGGAACAAAGAACATTCCACAATTAGGTGGACATAACTGGATACAAGTTTACAACCTGTTATTCTGTATTTCCATTATTCATGGATCGGTTTATTTTGAAGATTCAGGGAGAAACCAAAACCATACAGAGAACTGATGCCTAGATACTCAATAAATATAAAATAAAATTTGGAATTATTTCATATTTTACCCTTAGTAGGCTTAACCACATGATGATATTTCACTACTGTATGGTCTGAGGATGTAACATCTTCAACAGAATGTTAAATTTTGTTAATAAATGTATACATGTCCATGTGGATAATAAAGAATTGACATTCAATATGATGATAAGCTTGATCTTTGTGATTGTTTGCATTACAGCATGCATGAAGTTAGTCTAGCTGAATTTCAAATTAAGCCACATGTATTTAGATCTGAGCACATCTAGATACTATTTCATATGTTAAAAAATAACATAATTTAAGCTTGTCTACAGAATTCTACAGAATGAAGAATATTTGTTCTGTTTTTGTAGTTCATCAGTCTTTCCCACTGCACTAAGGATAATATGATTAAAAATGCACTTCATTATTTAAATAATATTTAGATAGCTTCAACTGTTCGGGGACAATTTAAATTTAGGCATGATAAATAGATAAAGTAGATGAACAGTACCAAGGGTTACTGTCTTCTACGCTGCCTCCTTTCTACGCTTTTCAGGGTCAAGATGTGGGCAGAAAATTTACGGAGCCGATCCATGGAGCTTTTATAGCTATCTCTCTCGGATTGTTGGTGGTAGCCAAGTACAGCAAGGATCGCATCCATGGCAGGTGAGCATCCTTCCTCCTCCCTGCTACACATACAGAGGCTTAAAGTCCAAGCCACTTTTAGACTTAAAGCCTATCACACTAATAAGAAAAATTAGGTTACCACATATCTTTGGTCTTTTTAAAGTCCAAGCCACTTTTAGACTTAAAGCCTATCACACTAATAAGAAAAATTAGGTTACCACATATCTTTGGTCTTTTTAAAGTCCAAGCCACTTTTAGACTTAAAGCCTATCACACTAATAAGAAAAATTAGGTTACCACATATCTTTGGTCTTTTTAAAGTCCAAGCCACTTTTAGACTTAAAGCCTATCACACTAATAAGAAAAATTAGGTTACCACATATCTTTGGTCTTTTTAAAGTCCAAGCCACTTTTAGACTTAAAGCCTATCACACTAATAAGAAAAATTAGGTTACCACATATCTTTGGTCTTTTCCGTATAGGTGCTTTTGCTGAACACCATGTCGCTCTCTGCAAGAGCAATGGAGCAAATAGTGAACAATGGCCATTCTCTTTTGGTGGCCAACATGATTTTGTCATTAATTCTGTTCTCTGCATGATGAGAAACTGAGATAGGCTCAAGAGCCCTGAGAAACTAAGATAGGCATGCTCATTTGGCAAATCAAGTCTTAAAACCCAGTATGTAATGCCAAACAAGAGAACTATCCTTTTGCTTCCCCCTGCACAATTTCTAGTGGCCATCAATGGTAACTTGAAGGAAAGGCATTGTTCAGATATAATCACAAAAGGTTATTTCAAAAGATGTAGAGTGGGAGTGTTAAAATAAATGCATAATTGCTTCTCTTTCAGTAACCAATGTTTTCCTCCCCCAAAATGTATTTTGTCACTTCTAAGCCTCCAGGAACACCAAACAATGCAACATACTGTATCTGTTCTGACTGGCAGAAACTCTTCAGGCATTTTCACACACACACACACACACACACACACACACACACACACAAATGATATGCTCCACAATGATCTGCTATGGTCTGCCCCCTTGGATTTTTCTTCCCAAGTGCTGCTACTGCAACTATGGACATTCACCATAAAGTTGAGGAAGGAATGTGGAAAAAGGTATGTTAAGTAATTACAGTGATATTAATTCCCCATGAAGAAAACCATTTAGATATTGACAATATTAGGCCAATTTTGACAGTGTCTGAACATTCACGATTCTGTGAATGTTACCAGTCAACAGATGAAAGATGGCTATTAGTATTCATCACTTCTGCTTCATATTATATGAAGTAGGGGCTATTTTCATACTTTCATGAAATTCATCTGGCACTGTTGACTTTTACTACAGTTTGGACATTCACTGCACCCTCCCATGTATTCTGCCTTCTACCACTTTGTTCTTGTTATGAGATGTACATTTCCTAAAGTGATATCTGCTCTGTATGATACAGGTTTCCTTGAAAAGAAGTAATCACCACTTCTGTGGAGGAACCCTTGTTTCCACTCAATGGGTAATCACAGCAGCTCACTGTGTTGTAAGCAGGTACAAGCAGGCAATTCACTGGAAGGCTATGATTTCAGAATGTCAGTTTATTTTATAAATCATTTTATAGACTTTTGATGTGCTTTCTCTAGAAATGTAGCTTACGAATTACCCAGAGAGATCAAATATTTAAGCACTAGTGTCCAGGTGGTCTCACTGTGTAATAGGCAAAACATGCCCCCCCCCCAGTGTCCTAGGTGCACAGGAAGATTCTGGCAGGTGCTGGGGGCATTTTACATTTTTTAATTAGTTAAGACAGTGCCATAAAACTGCTTCAGTTTTATGATAATTTAATATATTATTACTTTTTATATTATTATTGTATTGTGGATTTTTTTTTCCTTGTCCACTACTGAAAGTCAGATGCTTGCCACAGATTAAACAAATAAATAAATAAAATCTCTGCATGAAAGAGGATTATTTATTTATTTAGTTTTGAAAATCCCAACTTTAGTTCTTTCCTGGTTATAATTCTCCACTGTTCTGTAGATCGCTGCTCAGTTTGCTGACTGTCACGGCTGGAGAACATGATTTGAGTCTGAAAGATGAGGAAGAGCAGACCCTCCATGTAAAAGACATAATCAGGCACCCCAAATTTAATAGGAAGAAACCAATGGATTATGACATTGCCCTTCTAAAAGTGGATGGTCATTTCAAATATGGTAATTTCATAGTTTAAGGCGATAATAATGTCTACATATGTGCGTACGCATGTGTGTATGTCTGAGCCATTATAAAAATAATGTTGTTCAAAGGGAAATAATTTACTGTACAGTCAAATACTACTTTGTATATAAAATCTAGGGACATGGCAGGTTGGGCCAGCAATCAGTGCCTTTACATAGCTTTATTCCCATGAAATCTCGTGACTACGTTCCACAAGCACAGTGTGGACTGGGTACATTCTTTTCCTACTCTGCCTTCACCACCCACAGTGCAGCTGTGAATAGTGCACCATGTTAATTGCCTTCTGGACAGGGAAAGATGTGGGTGATTTAGTGTTGATGACAAGCACTCACACTGCTGTGGGCAAGTTAAGACCCTAGATGTCACCCAAAGACCTGTGCCTGGCACCTCACTTTTGTTTATCATTAGATGATTATAAATAACCAGGTACTTTTATACAACTCCAATGGTGGATGGAAAGAGGACAATGAATTTAAAACTTCGAGTGTAACAGGTGAGAAACACAGAGCCATTTAATATCGGCTTTCATTTTGATGTCTGCTTTGGCACAGAATTGTGCTTCCATTTCATTGTGTTCAATTACTTTATGTTTTGTAGAAATTATTTCATATACCTGGCCTCTTGATGTATATCACAAAGTGTATGAAATCACTATTGAGTCATAAGCCATATTAACTTTATTCATTCAAATATGTAACAAGAACTTTGATCTGTCTTAATGTTAGGTTCCACAGTATGGCCAGTATGTCTTCCTGGTCCACATGAAAAGTTTGATCCAGGATTTATATGTGTCACTTGCGGTTGGGGTCGTTTAAGAGAAAGTAAGGAAATGATATTACATTTGAAAGTGTTTTATGTTTCAGAAGGAGTTATTAAGTGTACATTTGTGCAAGCGTGCTATCAGATCTCAATCTCTCTCTCTTTCTCTGGGTGGGAGGCCAAGGTGGGAGGCAAACAGTGGAAGTGAATAATACTGAAATGGAAGGTGTGTATACTCTCTGTGTGTTCAATACGATTTTCAGCCTCAAAATAATGCAGCCTTGGTTCTAGTGCATGTTACTAAGGCTACATTTCCATGAATATAAGCAAATATTAGATATTGCTGTAAAGAGATATTCAGAACACATGCTTACTTCTCTGCTGCTTAATTAAGAAAATGATTGCGTAATAGTGTTTATCCCAGGATGTTCAATGAAGTCACGTATTTCAAAATTCAGTTCTGTTTCATCTAGGGCTAGAAATCCTGCTTTCAGTAGTGATCACATTTAACCAATGGTTGGAAAACTGTTGGCTTCATACTATAGTTTCTCACCATTTCAACTCATGATGTGGTTTGAATGTTTTGTGGAGGGAAAAGTGGCACAATACATGCTTAGCACTCCGAGGGCCAGTGGTCCATTCCCTGGAATCTCCAGTTTTTTAAAAAAAGGATCAGGCAGTAAAGAAAGACCTCTGCCCGAGACCCTGGACACCTGTTTCCAGATAGAGGGAACAGTCCTGAGCTTGATGGATGGACAATATGACAAGCTGTAATGCAACTTCTTGAGTTTTGTTTGGTTTTCAGATGGAATCCTTCCTGAAGTTCTGCATGAAGTGAGATTGCCCATCTTAGACCAGACTGAATGTTCCCGAGTCTTGTCAACTCTAAAGAAACCCATTCAAAGTCACACTATAATGTGTGCTGGATTTCCAGATGGAGGAAAAGATGCTTGCCAGGTTGGTAGATGGAATGAATAGGTTTATTAAGAGGAATACGATGATGATGATGATGATGATGATGATGATGATGATGATCAATGCTATACTAAAATACAGTAAGACTGTAGTATTAGCTCTACTTTTATGACTTTTAGAAACATTCCAAAGGGAACTTTTAGGAGGAAAAGCCATGGCTCAGTAATAAAAGGTCTCAGGTTCACTCCCAGGTATATCCAGGTGGAAAGTTCAGAGAAAGGCTTCTGGAGTAGCACTGCAGAACCATTACCACTGCATATGAAGCATCAGTCCTGAGCTAGAAAAATCAGATATCTGACTTGGTAGAAGGCAGCTTTTCAGATTGTTTTATTAGGGTGAAGAAATTTGGTAAGGAATGTAAATAAAAATTAAGTGGCCATAGCAGGTGGATGGCCATTCTAGTCTATTGTAGCAGAAATGATAATAATGTTACAATGACTCAGTTGTCAGTTTCATGTGGTCATAGTCTCTTGATTGTAGCTGTTGTAGCCAGTCATTTTCAGTCTTTCTGCCTTCTGGGAATAGTGGGAACTACTGAGTAATACTTTTACATGTGCTATGAAAGTCCAGCACAAGATAAACTATTTGGGGGAGTAGTTTAAGATGTTCCACCTTTATTCAGAGATCATCATTTATGCTCCTAATAGCAAATAGGCTTGCCAGCCTATTTAAGGCAATAATATTATAGCACATCTAGAATTTATAGGGCAAAGAGTGTCCAGAACAAATGTAAATTACAGCTTCAAATTACTGAAACTCAGATTACCATAGGCCAAGCTAGAGGAAGCTTTGCAGCTGGGATATTGGTAGAACTCAGGAGCAATGGTGGCTAATGGTAGAGTCATACATAGAAAAGGGGTGATGTGTAGTATGCATTTTCTGATGAACAAAGAAGCACCCTTGAACAATTACAAGATAATAGGTTCCTCAAAGCCATAGGTTTATTGGACAGTTCTACACATTTCTACAGAATCTCAATTCCAAAGCAGCCTAGACTTCTCCAGTCCCTACAGGACTCATAATTCAAGCAACCTATTGATCAGTGGGATCTCAATAGCATAGCAATCTTCCTTATTGCAATTTGTGTTGCAAACTTGTTGAAGGGATCAAAGGAGTCCATTCATTGATAAGATTGGCCAGTAATATTTTCACACCTCAACTGGATCTCAAATGTTTTCCTCTGTCTTGCCAAGGTCAACTTTTTGGTGGAATCTTTCAGACATCAACTCCTGCCTTCCTCTAATCCCCAGGCACTGCAACATTGCCTCATTTAGGGCACTTTACTCTGTGGCACAGCTGGACTGAGCTGTCCCCACCAGATTGCAAAGAAGAGGGTGCGCTCCAATAAGTAAAGAACTTCATGTGCTGTTTGAGATGTGTTTCCTTTTGGGGGGGAAATATAGATAGATATATATTTCTCCTGCAGGGGGATTCTGGAGGCTCACTTGTGTGCCAAAGTGATCATGGTTCTTGGACTCTGATTGGAGTGACTTCATGGGGCATAGGATGTGCTCGAAGCTGGATACATAATCTGAAAAGAAAGTATGAGAAAAGAGGAACTCCAGGAGTTTTTACAGATCTGACCAAGGTGCTCCCTTGGATTCAGCAGCATATAGATGCCGGTAGTAACAAAATACCACAAATACTGTGATTTATGTTTTTATTAATATCAATTAGTATGTCATAGATAATAGTGTTTTACATGATTAGAATATATGACCTGTATTAAAAGTAGAAACTATCTCCTCTTCCCAAACTAATCCCCCCCCCCAAAAAAACTTATGTTTAGCTAGTTTTTTATGTTTGTTTTTGGGGGAACCCTTTTCATCACTTGACAAACATGTTGGTGCCTAGTTCTATGGTATGTTATTTTAATAGGTTATAAAGTCGGGTTACATCTCGCTTTACATGAGCAGAGTTCTGTTCAAAAACCAGGGCTTTTCCTTGCTCTGCTTTCTCTGCTTTACTCAGATGTGTACCAGAAAGTGACAGATTTGGGGGAATGTTCAATGCAGGGAGAAAGGTTTGTTTTGATCATGTGCAATTAGAGGGCCCGTGGCTTTCTGGAAGTCACTGAACTACAGCTCTCGGCAACGCCAGCTACTATGGCTTTTGGTGAGGGACGACAGCAGTTGTAGTTCAGCAACACGCAGAAAGCCACTAGTTCCCTACTTGGGCACTAGTGAATGCCATTCTGCTGGTAGGCACTGGCAGAACTGGTAATATTCATTTGAGTGCACAGACATTGGGTTAGAAAAGAGAGGCCAGAATCACATTGGGTGTGGCACACGTGTAATATTTTTCATGTTGTTTTTGTTATACGCAAAGTATATGGGACGTGAAATGGTTCCCAGCTTGTTCTCCTGATCTCTTTTTTTAGGAGGCTGGTTGTGCATTATGGGAGGGTAATGTGGCAGGGCCTTTGCTGGTGGTGGCTGAAAGCAGTATCCAACTAAGGCCTGCACTGTTATGAATACCATTGGTTTGATTTTACTGTTTTATAGTAACATCAATATTCAGCTTCAAACTGTGCCAGGGCAAGAGTTGTATTCCAGTAGAACATACATACATACATATACGTATTCTAATGGAATATATATGGGCGTGTGTATATATATAATATATATTCTAATGGGATACAGCTATTGCCCTGGCACAGTGTGAAGCTGAATATTGATATTACTATAAAGCAGTAAAATCAAATCAATGACACACACACACACATTGATAGAGAGAAAGAGATTCAGGCCCAAAGCAAGCTACATTTTGCTGCCGCAAAGTCACTATGATGTTTCTGATTCGTTGTACAAATGAAGAGTTTGTAGCTAATCTATTTCATTCATTCCTTTTAATTAGATGTCAAAATGAAAAGTTCTACAGGTGAGTATAGAGTTCCAGTAAGATCTTTTTGAACTTGAATGTTCTTGATAAGGTCCATCTTTTATGGACAGCTTAATGCTTACTTATGATAGTATTGCAGTCAGTGCAAAACTGAAATGTGAAAATTAGATTAGTGGGTTGGGTTTTTTTTTCATATTTATATGGTTTCTCCATTCAAGCTATTTTTTTAAGTAACTGATACTCCATTTCCATATAAATGTCTGAATATATTTCAATAACATTTAAAGTTAATATATTTCGATAACATTTAAATGTGCAGTTGTTGAATTAAGCTAGGAGGAACAACAATGTACTTCAAGAATGCACATGGCTATTCTGGAGCTTTAGTTTTTCCAGCTTTTCAAATGGAATAACTCTTCACTGCTGATGTGCTGGTTAATTTGTCAATACCTGGTGCACAATCTTATGTGGTGAGGCATCTCAGTGGAAGATCTTTGCCATCACTTGAAATTCATGTTAAGAACTAGCATTATTTCAGAACTCATGCCTTCACTGCCTTTATTTTATAGATCAGTCAGTGAAATAATCTTTAAATACAGGAGTTGTGTTGCCTTATTTGGACCCCAGAGCTCCTTTTAAGCTCTGAAAGAAAGGCAACATTAGATGAAACAATTCCTTAATTACTGGAGCTAAGCAGCTTTCCTCCTCTGATTCCAGAAAATTGAATTTTACCCAAAGCACAGTTATATTTTTATTTTATCATCCCATTTGACCAGCCTTGTATTAGGGCATTTCAGGTCACAAGCAGCCAGCCTCTTGTCTTCCCTCCGGCAATTTGCAAGGAATAATATGGAAGGGTTGCAGCTGTGTAGCAGATCGTATCTCTTACATGCAGATTCAGTTCCTGCAAAGGTTCTCCAAACTTCTTTGAAAACCTGGAGAGCTGCAAACCCTCTGTGTGAACATTTTTGGATTTCCCTCATAGAAGCTTTAAATTCACACCGTCACTTTCTTATCTGAAGTAATACAGAAATGTTACTCCTGGTTTGCCACAGGCTATTATTTATTTCCAGTAAAATTTACTCTTAAAATGAAAAGAAAAAAAAAAGGTGTTTTCTCTAAAATGTAAAGAAAAAAAAAAGG